CTAGGTGAGACATTGGTATTTTGGGAATGTGGGTATCTCACTCTACATAATGAGATATCAGCATTTTCAAACACCAATATCTCATGGAGTAAATTTAAATTTTGGTATTTTTGAATGTCATTGAGTCACCTTGTGAGAAAAAAATATTTTAAAGGGATTATGTACAATATAAAGGAGGCCAGAGGTGCAACAATACGATGTGTTTTGCATTCCATTCCCACTAAATCCCAATTTGTGAACCCAAATCTCACTAGGTGACATGTAGGATATTGATCATCATTATTATTAACAAAATCTTTTTCCAACAAATTGGAATCGGTTACATGAATCCTGGTCCATCATTATGCTCTATTAATAGTTATACCTTCAGTGAGGACGTGAGTCCCGATACATTTTTTTACTATTTTCAACCATGTCTTTTGGGGTGTATTTCTTGTCATTTTGTCGCTTTATACTTGAACCGAATCACACATCCTAACAGGTATTCTACTTAATCTGTGCCACATATGGCTGGCCTGCTAATGTTTACTTTTTCTCATCTAATGGCCTATTAGTGCGACACTTAAATTTTTCAGCATGTATTCATTTCAAATCATATCCCTTATCGTCTTGCTATTCATCCATCTCAACTACACTCATATCTATAAGATATTTATATTAATGATTACCAATACATCATAGATTATTTAGAGCGAGCATGGTATTCCCAAAATATAATATTCAAGAGAAAAGTATTCCCAAAAGATCAATCATCATCATCATCTAATCATTGTCCCAATTATTTGGTGTCAGGTACTTATCTTATGCCATTTTGCTCTATCAAAGGTCACACTCTTAATTAAACCACAAATCAAATAAATTCAGGATTTATGAAAAGGTTTTATGTTGCCCGCCTACCTAACACAACCTTCCTCGGGATCAACGCGATTGGCTTGAGACCAACCATGAAAGATTTATTTCCAAAATACTAATATTCTTTCTTAAATGCATTTTTGTCTTGACAAAAGTGCAAAATTCATATTTCATCTATTAATGATACATGCACAACGATGGATGTCTAATTAATCGAAAGAAAAGAAAGGGGGAAAAAGGGAGAAAGTAAGAAGTTAGAAAGGCAGCTGCAAAAGGAAAGGGTGAGGGTCATATAAAGTACCCGCCTTATGCTGTAGAAGTAAGGCACAGCTCTAAATTTTGCTTAGAAGAATAGCGGCACACCTCTAAATTTTCTTAGAACAATAGTTTCAGTGAGAAATCTTATCATGACTTGAAATTTGTATCTCTAATTAATTTGAAATTTCAAAAGTACCTGTCCATAAACACTTGAAAATTGAAAATAGATAGTCTAGATAACTTTTTAAAATATGAACTATTTTTAAGATTAGAATTTTTTATTTTATTTTTATATCCATACATCTCGATATCAAGATGATTAATTATAGGATTTTACGATAGAACACTCTCATCTAAATAATTTTTGAGGTACACTTCACTTCAACAATATAAGGTGGATAACTTATATAGACTCTTTTTCAAAAGGAAAAAAGGAGAGAAAAGAAGGAATTAAGAAGGAAAAAAGGGACAGAGAATAAGGAGTAGGAATTAGGAAATAGGAAGACATATAAAAGTGTAAAATTCATACTTGGACTTATACAAAACTGGACGAAGGAAATGAATGATTCATAGCATTGAATGTTGAACTTTCTCAAAATCAAATGGACGTCGTGGGTTCACTTACCCGGACATCACCGTCCATTCTGATACCACAACAGTAAAGAAATCCTGTAGTTTTTGCACACGTGCCAACCTTGGCAGTCCATATTCGAGAGCATTAAAAATGATATAAAAAATGGAGTGTTCTAAACCTGATTAATATATTGGAATAAAGTAATGATGGGGTTTTTAAGAATAGTATATGATGTTTGAATGGGGGTAAAAGATAAGGGGATTTTAGTAAGATAACGGCTCTTGGAAAAGAATAAATAACCAAAGGTCAAAATAATCAGCTACATTAAAAAATGGAGCCACTATTATTTTGTACTTGTTGTGTGATTAAAGAATGGCAATGGTTGTACTATTATTGCTTTTTTATTTGGAGGCTAAAAGTATGGGATTATTTTATATATTTAAAGAGGAGAAATGGGATTCCTTTTGGCTTTATAGGAATGAATTGCCCCAACTTGATCATAATCTAGGGTTTGGAGGCCACAACCAAATTATTCTCTCTCTCTCTCTCTACTTTATCTCTCCTCAATATTCAAAAGCTCATTCTCTCTCTGTCTCTTTCTTTAACGTTTTATTATATTTCTTAGGACTAAAGAATACAAGGCATCCCATGAGTTATTGACACGTATGAATCGTCACAGGATTTGGTGCCACGTGTGATGCGGCCCACTCAAACGGACGGCTCATATCTCATCAAAAACCTAATGAATTGTCAAAACACGGGAGAGTGAAATTCATTGGACAATCACAGCCGTCCATTGGGGATCTGAACTGGGAATAACTTCAAGGCACTGCCTGCTTATTTTATTTTCCCAGCCCTTATTTTAATAATTTCCCAAAATATATTAATATAATAATACTTTTTAAAAATATTATTAAACTGGAGGAAAAGATAAGACAGGGTCTTACGCTTTCCCAACACCAAATAGTTTTTTAACAACCCAGAATCACAATTATTTGATTTTCTCACAATAAATTAAGAATTTTCTATTTAAAAAACCGTCATTATTTTATTATTCTTATTTTGAAATCGTTAATTATTTTAAGAGAAAAAAGGGCTGTAATTCAGTCGTCATCTCCGGGGTGTTGACGAGCTCGCCACTAACGGCGGGGGCGGCGCCACGTCATCATGATGACATGGCCTCGACAGGCGGGAACGCATCACGAAGCGACACGTGTCCCATCCACTGCGGGACAGCGAGCAGTGGGAGAGGGCATGGCTTGCGACAAAAGTTGGCGCCCGGTGGGCCCCCTGCCGTTGTGGGCCCCGCTCATGCTGCTCACACGTGGGTCCCGCACGTGGAGTTGGCCGACTCGTTTTTTTTTTTTTTATTTTAATAAGAGAGAAATTGGGAGTGAAATTTTGGGGGAGATATTTGATGGAGCAATAATAAAATCAGAAGCGGCCAATCAGGAGGAAGAATCCACGTGGCACTTTGTGACTGCCACTTGGGTTGCCATGTAGGACAGGCTTTCGATTTTGCTAGGCGTCTCGAAAGGTTGCCACGTGTCCAACACCTGGATTTACGGCACCGTAAAAACGTGGTTGAAGGGTCGGGTTAAATAGTGGCCGTGGGTTAAGGACGTGGGACGCACGTGGCAGCGCCCAGTGCTTACACAATTTCGCCACGTGGCATGGGGCAGTGGGATAACAGGCGCGGGGTGCGGGCCCTACCTTCTCGGAAGTTCCGTGACTGTGTCTAGCGTGATCGCGCTCGGGACGGATCTTCGCCGTCCGATGAGGAGGGTCCAGTAGAAATCGGACGGACAGTAATTGACCGGGCCCACCCAGTCAGCGGTGATCGGAAGGTCGAGATTCGCCGGGTGATGCCGCCACCACGTCAGTAGGTGACGTTCCCGGAAGCTTCGCTAGAAAACCAACGGCTGTGATTTCCTGATGCATTAAAGGGAGAGATTTTTAGCGGTACGATGACAAGCAGACGCATCGTCGGTGGGGCCCGGAATAGTCAACCGGATGTGTTGACCGGAGCCGATATTTACTAACCTTTCAGTCGGAAACCGGCGATAGGAGGTGGTATCCTGGTAGGGATTTAGGAAGAGGGGTGGAAACCGGCGATAGGCTTGAGTACGGGAGCACAGCTGGCGGTGGAGAAAATCAGATATAATGCACTTTCAACACGCTGGGAGAGAAGCTTGGGTCGTAAGGAAACACGATAAGGATTCCGCCACGTGGCCCCCGGTTCTCTCCACGGCGACAAATTGGACGGTGGTGGATGGCGCCACGTTGGCATAGCTGGATGGAGACCGTCCGATGTCTCTCGGGTTGGACGGCTGTGATTTGCCTCGGGGAGCTGGCGGTACTATCTGGGCCGTTGGCTGTTACTTTTCAGTGGGCCTTATGGGAGTGAAAGGAGGCCAAGTTAAAGACAATTAGATGGAGAGGGAGAGGGAGAGGGAGAGGCAGAGGGAGATAGAGATAGAGAAATAGAGGTCGATGCAGACTTAGAGAGAGAGAGAGAGAGGGGTTGCAGAGGTAGGTTAGAGAGAGAAAGAGATTTGCAAGAGTCTTGGGCTAGAGAGAGAGAGAGGGAGAGATTAGGAGT